ACTGCTGAGGTGTTATGGAGGCCCAGGATGCTTCGATAGCGGCCTTAAGCTCATCCAGAGTGTTGGGTCTTGCGTCTCTCATCTTTCTCTTCACAATATCCCACAGATTCTCTACGGGGTTCAGGTCAGGAGAGCTGGCAGGCCAATTGAGCACAGTAATACTATGGTCAGTAAACCATTTACCAGTGGTTTTGGCACTGTGAGCAGGTGCCAGGTCGTGCTGAAAAATGAAATCTTCATCTCCATAAAGCTTTTCAGCAGATGGAAGCATGAAGTGCTCCAAAATCTCCTGATAGCTAGCTGCATTGACCCTGCCCTTGATAAAACACAGTGCACCAACACCAGCAGCTGACATGGCACCCCAGACCATCACTGACTGTGGGTACTTGACACTGGACTTCAGGCATTTTGGCATTTCCTTCTCCCCAGTCTTCCTCCAGACTCTGGCACCTTGATTTCCGAATGACATGCAAAACTGAGCAACAGTCCAGTGCTGCTTCTCTGTAGCTCAGGTCAGGCGCTTCTGCCGCTGTTTCTGGTTCAAAAGTGGCTTGACCTGGGGAATGCGGCACCTGTAGCCCATTTCCTGCACACGCCTGTACACAGTGGCTCTGGATGTTTCTACTCCAGACTCAGTCCACTGCTTCCGCAGGTCCCCCAAGGTCTGGAATCGGTCCTTCTCCACAATCTTCCTCAGGGTCCGGTCACCTCTTCTCGTTGTGCAGCATTTTTGCCACACTTTTTCCTTCCCACAGACTTCCTACTGAGGTGCCTTGATACAGCACTCTGGGAACTGCCTATTTGTTCAGAAATTTCTTTCTGTCTTACCCTCTTGCTTGAGGGTGTCAATGATGGCCTTCTGGACAGCAGTCAGGTCGGCAGTCTTACCCATGATTGCGGTTTTGAGTAATGAAACCGTTTTTAAAAGCCTCAGGAATCTTTTGCAGGTGTTTAGAGTTAATTAGTTGATTCAGATGATTAGGTTAATAGCTTGTTTAGAGACCCTTTTCATGATATGCTAATTTTTTGAGACAGGATTTTTGAGTTTTCATGAGCTGTATGCCAAAATCATAAGTATTAAAACAATAAAAGACCTGAAATATTTTAGTTGGTGTGCAATGAATCTTAAATATATTAGTTTAATTTTTATCATTACATTATGGAAAATAATGAACTATCACAATATGCTAATTTTTTGAGAAGGACCTGTATATTGAAGGCCACAGGTGAATGTGACTTATTATAATGGGTTTATGTGAAGACCGTTTTAAGTTCACTTAAATTAAAAGTTGTTATATTATTTAAAGCCTAATAAATGTTAAAATCGATGGCTTTCAATTGTACTGAAATGCTTGCTGAATGGATTTGAGATTCAAAATGAGATTTAAAAAAAATGCAATAAATGCAGCATATTGATGTTATTAATGCACCTAAAACATTTTCTAAGCACCGCCTCCCTTCAAATGAAAAGATGTAAAGAAAGATTAAAGGTACAGTTCACCCAAAAATGAAAGTTGTCTCATCACTTAACCCTCAAGTTGTTGAACACAAAAGAAGATATTTTGAAGAATGTTGGTAATCAAACAATTGGCGGTAGCCATTGACTTCGGTAGAAGGAAAAATAAATACTACAAGTCAGTGGCTACCGTGTGGTTACCAACATTTTTTTAAAATATCTTTTTTTTATGTTCAATAGAGGAAAGAAACTCGTGCAGGTTTAGAACAACATGAGGGTGAGGAAATAATGAAATTTTTGATTGAACTATCCCTTTAACTAACTCTTTTCACGCTCTGTCTTTTTCTAACTCTTGATATTTATCTCAGCATTATAAAGGAGTCAAGTCTGTGGTCGTAGGGTGACCTGTACTGTAGGTGGCGCCACTGTCTACTGGAAGACAAAGCCTAGTTTATCAAGGAGAAAAAACGCATTTCCTTATACATTCAGTGTACTTCCTTATACATGACAGACAGATGGATATTGCCACTTCTCTTAAAATCTTTTATTTCAATAAATACATGTCAAAATATTGAAGAAAGACAGAATTAAAGTAACTGACTCTAGATGAAGAGTTCACATGTGGGAGTTCAGATCATCTGTGTCCATGAGTATGGAGATAGACAAACACAGCTGGCCTTTACACTGATCTGAAATCAGCCCTGCAGAGACACCAACACATTCAATATTTTTGATTACACAGCAGAAAAAAATTACAGGATACTAAGGGAGTCCTGCAATGTAGTATTTTGACCAACATGACCAACTAACACATTACAATGTTGCAGGCAATTTGTGTAGAATTACTTATTTTATGTTTATTGATTTTGAGCAGCTCACATTGTAGCTCAAACTAATGGGGAGCTCCTGATTATTTGAAAGCGCTCAGACTGTCACCACTGTACACCTATTTCTAACATAAAAAAGCAAGCCATTTCAAATTCAAATAATAGCAGGGCTTGATTTAACCATCTTAGTTTTAAATGTCACATTCTAACACTGAAGTCAGCATCTGAAATACAATTTGTTTTATGAAAAACACTGAGAATAAACATTCTAGAGGCCTCGGAAAAGCGTGTACTTGTAATGTGGTTCTGAGATTGTGATCATAATGCAGTACAGCTTACAAAATAATTTTAAAGTGGAGATTTGTGAAAGGATGGAATTAATACAGCATAGTCTACATTTTTCGGTGTTTTTGTTTGCATGCTAAGCATTAAGTATTTAACTAGTATGTTAGTCCCTCATAAATCATAACTGAACCCGATAATACCTAGCCTATGTAAATCATTGCACATGGCTAAATATGTCATGACTTCTGTAGTACTGTATTGATCTAAATGCTATATTTCTAATGAACTGCCAAACTAGCATTATAAACCCATCACAGAGTACTGAAATTTGGAGGTTTGCATATTATTAGGCAGAAGTTGAATTGTGTACTGTATATAGTTGGTGCATAAGAATACAGCCAGTGCTTGAGGACCACGCTTCAGCCGGAGCACATGCTCATATAAGTCAGCAGCTCCCGAACCAAAGCTGAGAATTCGGATTCTGCTATGGCTTTACAAATGCTATCGCTAAAACTGCTCAGACATGCTTAGGTACTTGAACGCAGCAGCGGCATGAGCGGTAGACGGAGTCTTCCTCATTTGAATTTGACTCACTTTGTTCACACAGCACACAAATCCAGTTTTGTTTTCAAATCGGATCTTTAGGAATGACACGTTTGATTTGTAGTCAATGTTTGGGTGTATCTACATAATGATGCCATTCACACCAAGGACGATAACTATAATAATATAGCTTTAATACTGTAAAATTTTGATAAACATTTTAATTCCACACCACAATGATAATGACACAGATCACTTTCAAAATGCTTTTTTTCTCCAGCTGATGAACACAAATATTGACAACTAATCAGAATCCATCTGACTTTAATGTGCTTGAGTATTTAAAGCGGCAAATACATAGTTGCAGCTCACGCTTAAAAAAAACCCCAACAGATTATCATCCGTTGGTGTGAATGCTAATACAGTTATTGTTATATAGTTGTCGTTCTTGGAGTGTACAGGCCTTAAGAGTGGCAAGACAACAAATAAAACCTAAAGAATTGTCATGACATTTACACTTGAAAACCACTGACTTGTTCACTAATTCACTACATAGTGAATGTCTCAGTTCGCTACACACTCTTAAAAATGAAGGTTCCAAAAGGGGGTTTTCCACAGCGATACCATAGAACCATTTTGGGTTTCCCAAAAGAACCTTTCAGCGGACAGTTCTTAAAAAGCCCAATTGTTTTTCTTTGTGGGAAGAGAGAACCTTTAGTTCAATGAAAATGTTCTATAGATTTTAAAGACAAATTTCCATTGAACTAAAAGTTCTTTTATAGTCGAAAAAGGTTCTGTAGATGATTCTTCATGGAACAATAGATTGCTAATAAAGACCCTTTATTTTTATGAGGGTATATAAGGGAAGAGAGAGCAAAAACACACGTTCGATTTGTCATTCCATGTCTGATCTAACCGTTCAGACTGGAAAACAAATCATATTTCAAACTAGATGTGAATGTTGTTTAGATGGGGGTTGTAAACATCAGATTTCATGTTTTTTGCTGTTAACACTACAAAAAACAAAACTGATTAGAATACGGATTCACCAAAAAATCCATCAAATTGGTCTAAACAAAGCCTGACATTTGAGACCTGATATTGGACCACAGAACATGTCTGCTAAATCATGCTAACATCTGATCCCACACTATGCATCAAAACACACATCGCCATTGAGAGTCAATCACTGAACAAACAGAATGATTATGAAGATGAAGAATTTCCTTCCTTAGACAAGGTTTCAGTCCTTCTCCAAATGCATTTTAGCAGTCCACTCAGTGCTCAGCCTGTTATCCAGCAGACCTCACTGCTGACAGGGCAATTTGAGGCACTGAATTCGCATACAGCGCTGTGTGATCTGTCTGGAGGAGGCTGAATGTTCCAGTACAGCTCCTTGAATAACACCCAAATCACACTGGCGATAACCAACCCCTCCAAACTAGCCCGAAGGGAGTTAACACCATTGCGATGTGACTGTCAAAGATTTGTTCAGAAAGACCATATGCGATGTTCTGCTGTTGGGAATGATGATAATACACTGCCTGCAGGCTTTAATGCTATACGGTGTTGCATAGAACTGATTTCTATTTGTGCTTGTGGTACGTCTTTGATATAATCATCTTGTCATCCAAGATTGGAGACGGAGAAATGTCCTCCCTCTTCCCCATTTAGCACCATGAGATGTCTTCCATACGCTTCTACAGCAAATACTCTATGATTTTTACGTGACGTGTATTTGCTGTGACATTGAGATCGGTGAGCGGAGCAAGCCCCTGACAAAGCCGAGCGGGAGGAAAAACAGGCGTACGTTGGCCCTGCCTTTTGGAGGAGGAGGATGACGACACCTGACATGAAGGCACATGTAGGCAGATGTCGGGGCACGCGTCCTCAAATGTAATTCATTTCCTGCATTGAGCGGGCGGGTGGGGTTATTGCTTTGAGGCTGTTTCCGGGGCAGCTCTGGCTGCAGTGTCCGCGGTTAAGAGCGGGCTGCTCAGGGGGTTCGGGACGGGGTGTGAAAACAGGGCAGGAGCGGGTGCGAGCGTGGCTCTTGTGGCCGCCTGCGTGACAGATGAGCTCACTGACGGTGCCCAGAGGAGGCAGATGCTGCTGCCAGCGCTTCAGCCGATCCTCTTTGTATTTAATGGAGTACCAGGTGAGGAAGATAAACACGAAGCCCACAAACTTGAGGCTGGCAGCCAGGCCGAAGTAGACGAAGCGAAAGGAAGTGACGTCGTACTCCCAGCAAGAGCCGTGAACGCCGCAGTCCTGCTGCCAGAGCATACAGGTGGTGTCGATCACCGCCCCAAAGTAGATGGGCGTGGGAATGTAGGCTGCAGACATGGAAGATGATGAGAATTATGGTAAAGGGGAGTTTGAATTTAAATAGATTTTTCCTTGTGGATTCACTTAAAGGGATACTCCCCTTTTTTTTGGAAATAGGCTCATTTTACAACTCCCCCAGAGTTAAACTGTTGAGTTTTACCGTTTTTGAATCCATTCAGCCGATCTCCGGTTCTGGCGGTACCACTTTTAGCATAGCTTAGCATACATCACTGAAGTGGACAAGACCATTAGCATTTCTCAAAAAAAATGACCAAAGTGTTTCGATATTTTTCCTATTTAAAACTTGACTCTTCTGTAGTTACATCGTGCACTAAGACCGACGGAAAATGTAAAGTTGCGATTTTCTAGGCTGATATGGCTAGGAACTATACTCTCATTCCTGCGTAATAATCAAGAAACTTTACTGCCGTACCATGAGTGCAGCAGGCATAATGATATTGGAACGTTGGAAGTTACCGAGCTGGGGACTATTTTCAGGCGCTGCGTCATATCATTACGCCTGCTGCTCTCATGGTACGGGGCAGTAAAGTTTCTTGATTATTACGCAGGAATGAGAGTATAGTTCCTAGCCATATCAGCCTAGAAAATCGCAACTTTACATTTTCCGTCGGTCTTAGTGCACGATGTAACTACAGAAGAGTCAAGTTTTAAATAGGAAAAATATCGAAACACTTTGGTCATTTTTTTTGAGAAATGCTAATGGTCTTGTCCACTTCAGTGATGTATGCTAAGCTATGCTAAAAGTGGTACCGCCAGAACCGGAGATCGGCTGAATGGATTCAAAAACGGTAAAACTCAACAGTTTAACTCTGGGGGAGTTGTAAAATGAGCCTATTTCCAAAAAAAGTGGAGTATCCCTTTAAGCTTTCAATTTCATGCTGTATTTTTTCCCTTCATCTTAACTAATTAAAATGTATAATGCTTAGTACTGAGCTGTTATTTAAGAAAGTTTAGACTAGGAGCTCTGCTTTCATGACAAAGTTAATATTGAAATCTTAGCTTTCCTTGAAAAAATAAATCATTTTGACTTACCCAGAGTTCTTAGCAGCACAAACTGCATTCCTAAAGCAAACGGTCTTTCTTGCTCTTCTACTGACCTGCAACAGAAAAAGATTTGATTCTGTCATGTACTACCATGTACGTAGTGTTATTCAAATCCCTTATGTATAGATAACTATAGTATCTCAGTTTTTCTCAGTCGCTTTGGTACATTTCTCAGATCAGAATTGAAATTCTCAAAACTACCTGTTCAATCTTCACATCATTGTCATTAGTGCACATCAAAAAAGCAGTTTCTCAGTTCTTTGAAGAAGTTGCAAATGCTTTGGTACATCCATGCAAATTATTATGTACAATTCTCTGCTGTTTCCTACATTATCAATTGCTTATGTCATGTTGATCAAAATGTATTATAATGGGTCTCTGTTGAATAGTTAGTTCATAGCATAAGTATTTACATGCAAAATGGTTTAAACAAATTGTCATAATATGCATGTACAGGTTTCCCTAAGGAGATTGTCCTATGTTTGCACATTTCTACTTTTTTTTTCTATGCAGTGCTGTCTTTTCCTTTCTGTATCGCAATGACATGGTTTGTCAACAAATTACAGTACAAACAGTAAAAGCGTAAATGTGAATCTTGTCCAGTCTCTTGCAATCAAACTCCCACATACACTAAGGTGTAACCCACAATTTACCATAATTGTCATCAAAACTTTAGCCATCCAGAGTTCACTGTTATATTGACAACATGACTCAGCAATTTGACTGTCTTAGGACTTGTCATTCTGATGGCCCTGACATGTTCATTGACACATATTTAATTTTGAGAGATGAACTAAGGATTTTGAGCAAGAGACTGGCTTTTGCAGGAAATCCATGGTGTTTTGCACGAATTGTTTTGAGAAATGTACTTACTGTTTTGCAAATGTCGAGGATGATTCGAGAAATGTACCAAAGCGACTGAGAAAAACTGTAACTATAAATTATACCGGGGACACATGATGGTGGTTTTAAAATCTGGGCATCAAAAGGTTTGAACAAGGTGGCAGATTTATTTAACAATGAAACTATGCTCAGTTTTCAGGAATTAAGACAAGTTTGATTTGCCTAAAACCCATTTTTTAAAATATCTTCAAATTAGGAATTTTATCAATAAAACACAGCATCTTTCTCTTCTCTTACCAGAGCTGTCCCCTTTAGAAAGAATTACTTTAAACCACCTTAATGGTGCTAGGCAAGTTTCCTTGTTTTATAAACTGATCTCCACTAACTGTAAAGAAAATACGGAGAAAAAGCGTTTGGCTTGGTGTCAAGATATAAGTGAGAATATAACAGAAGATGAATGGCAGAGTATCTGCTTAAAGGCCCAAACCCAGACAATTAATACCAGGTTTAAACTTCTGCAGTACAAGTGGATAATGAGAGTATACATAACTCCAGAATTGCTTCATAAATTTAATCCCAACATCCCCAATCAATGTATAAAATGCAACTTAGAGCTTATGGAAGTGTCCTCAAGTTCAACTTTATTGGGAAAAGGTTTTGGACTTTTTGTCACTGGTGGTGAAACAGAATGTCCCCAAATGTCCTAAACTTTGTATATTTAATATTTTCCCTGTAACTTGCACTCTAACTAACTCTAATAAGAAAATGTTGACCTTCTGTTTATTACAAGCAAAACTTGTAGTTGCTCGTCATTGGAAAAACACAGAAACCCCTAATTTTAAACAATGGTTACAAGAATTGTCAGGCTGTTTGGCTTTGGAGAAACTCACATATATTGTTAAAGGAAAATCTGGAAAGTTTTTCAAAGTATGGAACCCCTTTATAGAATTTTTGAAGGAAGCTGAACCAAATAGTTTATTTTCGGTGTAGCCAGGAATAACATTTACCATGTTATGATATTAATGTACCATTGTCTTGACATATGTATAGTATAGATGGTTTTTTTTTGTTGTTTTTTTTGTGTGCTTGTTTTTTTTTTTTTATGTAAATGTTTCTAAAATCAATAAATACAATGTTGAAAAAAAAAAAAAAACTATAAATTATGCATAATTGCATTCCTAAATCTATAGTAAGTACATGTAGTTAATATTACCTTTAAATAAAATATATCAGTTTCCACAAAAGTATTAAGCAGGACAACCTTTTTTAATATTGATAATAAGAGATATTTCTTGAGCAGCAAATCAAAATTAATTCTGAAGGATCATGTGACAAGTACTTATGCTAAAGGCTTTGACATCCCTGAAATAAATTACAATTTTAAAATTATATTAAAGTAGAAAACCATTATTTGAAATTGTGATATTTCAAAATATTACTTTTTATTGTATTTTTGATCAAATAAAAGCCTTGGTGAGCATAAGAGACTTCTTTCTCAGACAGTTGAATAATATATATTTAAACATTTCAAAAAGTGCTTAAAGTTCCCAAATGATTTCTATTTCTTTAGTAACTATATACATTAGTTACCGTTTCCTACCTGAGTGTGACGATAATGGCGGAGGGCTGTGCACAAGCTGTGATGAGCGTAACGATGAAGAGGAAGATGAGGAAGGGGATGAGCGTGTTGCAGGTGCGATCACACTTCCCTGACACAGCGAATCCGTTCTCGTTCAGGTAGGTCTTCACTATGACCAGCTGCAGCTGGTTGCCTTGGCCGCTGGTGGGAGGGGTGATGACCTGTCTGCTCTGCACGCATGCACAGTCTGTGTAGTTTCTGATCTACATTAAAAAAAAACACACGACACATTGGTGAACGAGATTCAACCAAGTACATCATCGACATCTTTGTTGATCCTGGAACAACATTCCAATCAACTAATCAGATTTGAGGGACAAGTTTACAGTTTTGTCAAGTTTAGACTTACAGTACAACCAGGGTGAGGTGCTTCTACATCAGTGTTATATATTCACCAATCATTTCCCTCTGATTTTAGAGTTATGGGTATGATAGGACAACATTTTCAGACAGAAATGTTGATCCATGAACTCGTCTTATTTGGCAAAATCATGGTGACCACGGCATTACCACAGTTATTTATTTCCGAGATTACTTGAGGAAAACAATGTTAAACTAAACACCTTCATTTCACTCTTTTAAAAATATAATAATAATAATAATTTAAAATTCAAACACTGAATCTGCTATTTAAAAAAAATTGTATGCATTAAAATTACACAAGTTGACACCAACTAGCTTTCAAATCTGTTTTTTATACTTTCATTTAAAAGATTTTTTATGTACATTGCAAAGCTATATTTTGTATTATATTACATTTGCATCAAATTTGAAAAACTAGTTAGCGCTGCTGTGAGGGTGTTTCTAATACAGCAGCTGTCGGAGTGACGGACAAATGGACGCCTTTCTCTCTTCTGACTGCCATTTATCAATCTCTCCATTTATCCCCTCTTTTTGAAAGTTGTGAAAACGCTATTATGGAGGTTTTTCTTGCTATTATAGAATTAGAATTCTATTATATATAGAAGTTTAGCCAACTATGATGACTTTTCGCTTCTGAGACACCCGGAAATGTGAAAAGGGTCCATAAAAGGGACGCTGTATCAATGATCCAGATCAAGTGGCAAGGATAATGAGATAAGATATTTACATGTTAATAGAAATAGCTGCAATGGAAGACTGTACAGAACATCTGTACAGACTGAACTAGAATAGATGATTAAGATTTATCATCAATGTTTGTGGTTTTAAATCTTGACCTAAAAAGGCTTCTGCTGTCCTTAAAATACAGACCACCTCCAGAAAGACATGAAGTCTGGCTCACCGCAGTGCTGTCATTGCCAACCGTGCTGCATCCCGCCAGACACGGGTTGAAGTATGTGATGCCATCGGAGCCACAAACAGGAGCATACTCGTTGATCCGACAGCCACAGTTCACATTACAGCCTCCCGTCAGGTTTCTGTGGGTCAGAGTCAGTGTCGGCCTGAAGAAAAACAAGCAGAGGGCGGACAGAGCTGTTAGTTTGGGAATAAAATGCATAATATTAGCTGCTTTAGGCAATGTTTGGAATAAGGTACAACACAACACCTTGTGTTCTGAGAAATCACACTTGTTTCTGTGACAACCCTAGGCATTGTATTCAAGCATAAGCCAATGATAGAATGTATAAACTATGTGTGTGTGTATGTGTATATATAAACGGTCATCTCCCTCAGTGGATAAAAGAGAGTGAGAAGGAAAGAGACACACAGTTAAATAAATAGAGATACTGTATAAACAGTTATTTTAATGCTGTGGGAATGTCAGGCAAATTCAAACAGCACTTTCCCACATTAAACACAGCAACAGCTCTGGTTGACTTTACATTATCCTCACAGATCTACAGCAGAATGAGGGGATGAATCATGGCATAACACAGCCAGCAGGATGGACCGAATGGAATCCAGTCTTTAAACAATAAATGAGACGGACCTCTCTGCGACAAAACTAGACACCATAATAGTCAGCACTCATCCGTACAGGATTTAAAGGGATAACATGGTGCTTTTGTTTGTCATTTTGAAGCTTGGCAGCTCAGATCCTCTTTAATTTCACATTAAATGGATAAGTATGGCCAGTTCTTCTACATTGTGTTCCAAAGTAGAAAGAAAGTCATATGGGTTTAAATATGTGGGGAAATGATTCCTTTAAGCTTCAGTTAACGGAAGCAGTTTTCTCGTCAAGGTCACCCGAGCTGAAGTGGCTGTGGTTAATAAATGAATAAATAATAAATAAGCACTTCTGAATGTGCATGCGAGTCTCCTTTAACCGAAGGAAATACCGTCACTTTGAGAAAGGCTAACCTTGAGAAGACTAGCGAAAAGAAACACAAACTGTTTGGACGGATGTGGAATGTGAGCGTTGACTGAGCACAAGTGCTTTGTATTTCTATACCTGTGTCTCACAGGGCAGCTCTATCTGTTGAAATAGCCTCACACTTTAGTGCCATGTGTTCCTCAAACACGCTGTCTCGCTAGTCAGGGCCGTGCAAACCTACTGCAGACTTCAGCCCTAGAAATCAACTTGTGTCACTCAATAGAGCCTATACATATCGTTTTCTTAGTTTAAAAAAAAAACATTTTTTGTTTTCAGAAGGATTTTGTCTAAAAAGTAGTTATTAAAAATGAGTTATAGTTTCTTCAAATAAATAAAAAATAATATATGACAGACAAACAGACAGAATTGTAAGGAGGGAAAAAGTTTTGTAGGATTTGTCAGCTGAAAAAAAAGTCTTTTCAGACCATACGTGTTGACATATGTAAGGGCATTGAAATGTGCAATGATGCAAGAAACTGCCCTTGCACCTGCTGTTCAGCATATGCCTCTTACATTGTTTATAGTATTTTCATGTTTGTAAAAGCCCAATATAATTGAAACCACATAACATTAATAGGATACCCATATCCATGCAATATACCTCAAACCTTACACTGAAAGGCTTTAATGCCTGTGCATTCACTTACCCTGTGGTGTAAGGGATATTGATGCCACCCAGGTTTATGCTCTCACAGCCCACGATGAAGAGGGTGGAGAAGCACAGAAGAGAAACCCCACTGCAGATCATGGCCAGCTTGGCCGACTCGCGAGCTCCAAGCTTTAGTTTCTTTATGATGTAGCCGCCCAGTACAATGCCCACGCCTGCACTGGGCACAATAATGACCCCTGAAAGAAAAAGAAGAGAGATCAGTCGTAATGCTTGTCCAGAAAGCCACATATCACAATAAATATCAGACTTGAATGAACACATCAATATGTCCACGTTTATCAGAACAGAAGTCTTAAAGGCACAGTATATAAATATATACTAATTTTTTTAAATTAAATTTATTCCGGTGATGGCAAAGCTGAATTTTCAGCATCATTACTCCAGTCACATGATCCTTCAGAACTCATTCTAATATGCAGATTTGGTGCTCAAGAAACATTTCTTCTTATTTCTTATCAATGTTAAAAACAGTTCTGCTGCTTCTTTTTTGTGTAAACCACGACATTTTTTTTTACAGGATTCTTGTTCAAATGTTCAAAAGGAACAGCATTTTTTTCATATTTAATTTTTTTCTAACATTATTAAAGTCTTTACTGTCACTTATGACGGCAAACTTTTGAACGGTAGTGTGTATATATAATATTTTGGGTGGAATAAACATCGTCTATCATTAAAAAATGGAGAAGACAAAAAAAATCTTCATAAGTAGAGAAGCAAAATGTGACAATGCGACTCAAAAAAGGAATGTCAACATTTCTATTGGTGGAAGTTGACACAAAGACCTGAAGGAATGTGAACATCCTGAGCGGGTTCACAGGACCATCATGAAAAAGAAAAAAAATGCTCACAATACCACTACCATGTGGCTGTACATTTTAGACATAAGACTGAAGCAGAAAAAAAACCTAGCAAAATAAGATTGAGTGACTAAGAAGCAAAGATGGACATCACAGGCTGGCAGAATAACAGTGTGGCAGAGCAGCTTCCATCAGCGTGGCACACGTGCTGGCATCACAGCTTGGGATTTGAAAGTCAAAGCTGACTGCTGGCAGTCTGAGGTCACTGTGTAAATCCATTGGGTGGGCAAGGCAAGCACATGTCTGCTTTCAGCACGGTCAAGAGCGAGCTCCTCATAAAAGCACTTATTTAATCATATTCATGCTGAAAAAATGAAAATTAACATCTTTTTTTATTACATGTATTACAGAAGCTAAAAATTGTCAAATTAAAATGTTGATTTCAGTTAGTAAGTTAACAACTTAGCTTAAAGCAACACCAAGTAACTTTTCCTCTGCGGTCCCCCTAAAGGTTGGAAGCGGAATTGTCCATTACCGCTGTTGTAAATATAACTTTAGTCTACCGCAGCCTACTGTCGCATGCACTCTCGCTGTTTATCCAGCACCGGCTTTGGAATGAATGATGTCCACAGACAAGGAAGAGTGTGTTGCATGATTTCATGAAAGTTTTGCGACATCAGAAACGAAGAAAAACTAAATAATGACTATTGTAACGCTTGACGCAAGTCAAATTTGTAGTTTTCTTATGTCTCATTAGAACTACAGAAACGCGACCCGATCTGGCAATCTTACATAGCGTGGTTATTGCAGATATAGGACCGCAAAGCGGAGGCATAAGTGCCTTTCACCCCGTTACGACTTGATGAACCACTGAAACGATTTTGGAAACATTATTTTAAGGTCAAAAATCTTACTTGGTGTTGCTTTAAGCTTAGTATAGCGCTACCTGAAAAGTACAAAATTAAATATTAGCTATTTTTATATTCCTTAGCTAACGGTTTAAAGTCAGCATCAAATGGAAGTTGCGATAGTCTTTCCTTCCCTATTGTGACAGAGTGAAACGGGTTCTCGAACAACAACAAATATAGGACAAGACTTGATTCTGTACATCGGAAATTGATTGGATCGTTGGATCATTGTGGTTTGCTATTGGTCGATCTCATGTGAGTGACAGGTTGACCCACCCTTGCTCCAGTAAACGCCATCAGAAAAGAAAAGAGATGTCACTGCATGAGAAGGGAAAGTTAGTTTGATTAAATATTGTGAGAGCACATGATTAATAAAAAAAATAAAAAAACAATGATGTGCACAGACAAATAATTTATAACAAAGGCTGCAATATTACATAAAAAAACAAAGAATTGTCAAATTTGATTTCATGGTGACTTTAACCTACTATTTTAGCATAGTGATAACAGATAAAACACTGCACTGGTAAAAATCTAAAATGGTACATAATGGTATTTATATAAAAACGGTCAGAATGCACAGCTACTTTTGAAAGGTTTTCAATGAATACATTTACCAGATGGTGTAGTTGCGACATCAGGTGCTAACTGGATCGTGCTAACCAGATAAACTTTGGCCTCAAAGCTAAACCAGCGGGGCTTACTTGATCAGCCAACTTCATCAGGAAGTACACCGGCTAACCAGCATAAACAAGCATGAAAATCCATGCCACTCAGCTTCAAGCTGATTAAACCTAACATTCATTTCACTCCAACAAATGTTCGTACACCCACACATGGATAAACACACATACCCTTCCAACCTGACAAGGTGGTAAAAACACCCATTCACGAGACAACCACGGCTGTGTGAAGCCAATACAATGTTCCTTTGGGCTATATTTAGCCAGTAGTGCGTCAGGAACACCTCCCTATCATGAGAGAAGAAGAAACGAGCACTATTCACACAAACCCTCAAGCAGGGAAAGTTTGAGAGGATGTCCTGGGAGACTGCGTGCACAGCTGGCATAGAGCTGCCCATGCACATGCACAACAATTCCTGTAGGCCACAAGCTGGAGCAAAGCAGGGTGTTAATGACCACAGCCTACTGACAGATCCCTCTTGCACGCACACACACACACCGCTGTCATTAGTGCCGTCATGCCGAGGTCATGTGGACTTGAAGACACAGGCTGTCCGATATCATCCCCTATACTCTTAAATAGGGCACTATTTGAGGGGACAGCCATTTGTGGTGGTGTCCGAAACCATAGTGGATCGAGCGCACTCATTCAAAAAGATTCCCGTTCACACTTATCCGCGAAATAGACTAAAAACGCTGTATTATGCATGCAAGGCCAGTAGATGGCGATGCCACTTTGAAAATAAACACTACTCGCCAAAATATGCATGCGCATGAAGTCACCATTTTCACAAATTCACGTTTTTGCACTTTAAAACTCGTTTTCGTTTGCGTTTTCAGGACCCCAAACGAAAACGCTGTTGTCATGTAAATGAATAGCCAAACTTCTGATTTTAGTTGAAAAAGGTGTTGTGCAAACAGCCCCTAAAACTAGACTAAAATGCTCTAGTCGACAAAACCAGGAGAAGGTTGAATAAATAGGATAAAAACGAAAAAGACTACATAAAAAAAGACTTACATAATGAAATTAACACTACACTGCTTGATATTGAAGGAGTTTTAAGTGATGGCGAAAACACAGGCTCATTATCAAGTTGGTCACGTAAATTTGCCAAGTTGACCAACAGAAAACTGCTTGATTTGAAAGTGAATTCTGTGTGAGCAATGCTTCACACATTTCTGTGCTACTGACAATAAACAGTGGACCTTTTTTGCTAGTCAAATATAACTGCAATTCCACTAATGTGTTTGCACCTTTATGGCTAATTAAATAAATGTTAATCATAGGATTATAGGAGATCTAGGAACAGTTGAATCATTCTTTGATTTATAGCACCTTAAATTCCTGTAATTAATTTGTAGGAAAGATGGCGTGTAAATGTAGTTCTGATGCTCCCTGGCCTGGCCTCAGTTTTCTGTTTTATGGTACACCATCTGTCTTCTGTCCGTCTCTAGTTTCTGCAGCTGCAGTCTTATAGGGTGAAGGGAATCTTGGCAGCCATAACTGAGGAAACAGCATAAAACGACAAACTGCTTGCATCTATTGATGTGTAAAACATCCAGGCCTTTGTGAAAGCTCTGACTTCAGCAGGCATATCAATCTGCTGTTACTATAGCACGGGTTTAAATCAGAGAACAGGTTTGAAGGAGAGACCTTATCCATGAGGGACTGTTGGGATGTCATACATTTCTACCCAGTTTATCAGAGGTTAAGTCCTGACAGCTCTAGCCAACAAGTTGTTTTCCTGTTATAATCTAAGAACACACAAGCATAGTTAAGAGTCAACATAGCACGCATACCATTAATTCGTTTCTCCCCCTGTATCCTGGCAACAAGCTTAGGGGCCACAATAATTACTCGAAATCAGAATTCTGATAGTTAATATACAGACACTGTTCATGGAGATGTTATTAGGGTTCCTAAGGCAAGGATCAATGATTCATTATTATTGTTGGTCATATTTGAACAAAGTCATCATTATTATTATTCGTATTTGAACAAAAGCTTAACTAATGATGAAAATTCTGTCATGACAACTCTCAGAGTGTTTGTCTGACAATGTTGAAATGTTTGGTCTTATTGGAATAGATCTGCTACGCTGCTGCTGTTGTTCATTTTTGCTGCAAAGAAAGTACGGGACTTGATACTGCCAATATACACACACACACACGACCCGCTGCTGTGAGCTACTTGTTCTCAAAAGCAAAAATCTTTTAAAAACACTACAAGAACAAACTAGCATGGTGGTGTTGAGTTCGCATTTAATTCTGCTACAGAGCCCTATAAATTACACGTACAGTAGAAGCCAAAAGTGATGTCCGGCCTTAGAAAATCTTCACCCTTTATTCAAATTATTGCAAATGTATTAAAGCTTTTGTAAGCATATTGGGTAGTTGCGCTTGGAGTCAGTTGTTTTATTTGTAATAACGAAATGAAATCTGCCAAATGAGGACCCCCATGAAAACAAGATGTTTCATCTCATGGGGCTGATCCTCTAATAAGTGTTCATAAATAAATACATTTTTAGCCAGGCTGTCATACAAAGAAATTATGAACACGCAAAAACAGAAGAGAACCAATAAAATATTAGTAACTGATTATGTTGTAATCAATGTATGCTTTTTCCTGATAGATTTTTGGGTAACACTTTATTTTAAGGTGCTTGTAATAAGCAGTAACTAACAGTTAATAAGACACTTATAAGACCTTATAAGATGCATATAAGATGCATATGAACATTAACTACTTCATATAAGGGTTAATTAAAGGTCCAGGCCCTGAAGAGATCAGGGAAATTACTCCCTCTTGGGAAGGTCAATTTTTAAGGGACTGGGAGTTTGTGTTACCATTTATGTTTGTTCGGCTGTTCTAAAAGTGCAATGTATTGATACTTGCGAAATTTATTATTTTATTTAATTTATTTATTATTATTAGTTAATGCTTATATGCATCTTATAAGGTCTTATAAGTGTCTTATTAACTGTTAATTACTGCTTATTACAAGCACCTTAAAATAAAGTGTTACCGATTTTTGTTTTTCTATGCATTTTGTTCATAGGAAAATGAAACCTGTAGCTGAAGTTTGCCTTTTTTGCCAATAATTTTGTCAGATAAATACCTTAACCAAGTTTTGTTCTTCTCATATTTAAAATATATAAAAAAAAAAAAAAAATTGTAATATTTCGATGGTTTAATCAAACTTGTAAGGTCATTAAAAACAAATACCCAAACCAATTCCCTCCGGGCTTCACTTTTACCCACTACTGTATGAATAGAGATCATTTTTCAATTTTCATTCTTTTTTTTTTTAGTTTACATACTTTGATACTTTATTATATAATACTATAGAAATTTGCATTAGTATTTATGAAGTAAATAAACTGGATCAAAGTAGCAGTGGCCCATGCTGACAGAAGCGGATCATGCCCTCTACTCTGTTTAACCCTCTGGGGACCAGAGTGTTTTTGGGGCCCTTGGGATGTTTTGACATGCACTGACATTTGTGCTTTTTTCAGTTATTTATAAACATGTTAATGGCAAAGGTGTAAATTCACTCTATATAGCACAAACTTGGCTACCATGAGATCTGAGCAACATGTATGTACATGTTTGTATTTTTAATAGAATAATGTTTATGCGTGGTTATTGAAAAAAATAAAAATGAAAGTTGCTGAAATAAGACCACAAAACACATATTGATTATTTCTTCACAAGACTTTTGAAAATTGTATCACATAGCCTAGAATATTTGCTCCAAAACTATGTGAGAATCATCCTGACTACTCATTCAGATAAGTCAATAAAGTCTTTTACATTTTTAATGACGTGTTTTGTTTGAGAAAGCTTTATGCAGGAGGCTTGATCTCTCATTAATATGTATGGCATTCCACACCTGAGAAAGACAAAGACCCTCCCATAATGGCCCTATTAGGTGCTATCAGGCCATATCATTACAGGAGCCTTGCACAAAGAATGAGGAGATTTAAAAAAGAATGGCTTTTAGATTGTTTGGATATTATAAGGAAAATACAGGGTGCATACGTCTGGACACTTCTATCACACACCCTTCACCATATAGACATGGTTTTATTTCAGTTCAAAGTTAGAGTTGGAAACATCTTGAAAAGAAAATTGTCTTTCTCCATAAATGTCTTAGTTTGATCATACATATTTCAAAGTTGAGGATTCATTATTTTGATATAGCTTGAACAAACACTATAACATCTTAGTTGATTAGTTTATTGACAAAACATACTATATATTTAACATATGAGCAGAAACTCCTAAAAAAGCTTATTTGATGTCTATTTTAGAGTAAAAACTTTATCCAAAACGAGTCAACGAAATGTTGTCTGTTATTTAGTCTGTAACAGTGCGTATCTGTGCGTTCATTCATTCATTCACACACACACACACAAACTGTGTGACACAAACATGATTCACATTTAACAGTATGCTATTTTTCCGTTTACAGACACTACGTTATTCTATATCGCGATTAGAACAAAGCACTTGCAAAAAACACTTACTTCTCAGCTGAATCTGTTCATCCTCGAAGTGAAAATAACCCAGTGGTAAATGTCCCAGGATTGTTCCACATATAGCCGCGCAAGACGACAGTAGATTAATCTGACTAAAAAATAATGTGTGTTTTCAGAGTTCATGGGCGTTAACGCGTCTCAATGTGTTGCTTCACATATTTGCGTTTGAATAGCGCGTGCTCTCCGTAGGCGTGTCACATTACCACAGATAATCAGCTGAGAGAACGATAATGAGATGGGCTGACACGTCTCTCTTTTTATATAGATGACATAAACGGAGAATAATAATTTTAGTTTTGAATCGGATCATTTAAAAGTACAAACTCAAATGATTTAAAAGATATATTGCTTATGGCTGGGTGAATAGTATTAGCTGAGTTGTGTTGAAGATTAGAGACGTGCTCCAGAAAAAAAGTTCACGGTGACCGAGAGGCAGAACGCACACCCTGTTTATTTTCTTTATTTTACAAAAGCACAATATTTTATTTCGATTGTATGTGGGCACATAAAAAAGTAGACATTTAACAGATTATTTTCTCATATTTCTTAACTCTATATGAACAGAAATGATGGTAGTACTTTAAGTCTATTTTTCTGCTATGTGAAAAAAAACGAGCAAAACGCGCCGGCGCGTTTCTGGTCCCCAGAGGGTTAAGGATCCTGGCCAGTCTCCAGTTACCTTATGAGAGAGCATCTGTGCTGAGATATTTGGACATATGCATGGCTTAATAATGATCTTGAGTCTGAGATGGAGGGCAAGATGTTTTTGAGGGCTTATTAGATGAGCAAGAACATAAAATAGTGAGAAAGGGATTTTATGGTATCTTGAAACCCAGTGATAAACGCTCAAAGAAGGTTGTACAGCTTTATATAGCAATCAAATATGCCTCTACAAAATAAGTGGGAACAGCAGTGAAAAGAAATATCACGTTTTCACACGTTATTTTTAACACATGTTCTTTAATGTGATGAGCAGAGTGTGAATCATGTGAAATGTGTGATATGACAAAAAAGGAAACCATACGTAAAAGTGAAAAAAAGGGCATATAGAATGAGAGATTTAATTACTTATATCCTGAAAACAGGATAATCGTGTACCTGTGTATATGCTGGCATTGGAGGCAGGGATTCCAAACTGCGACTCGATGAACTTGGGGATGAAGGTGATGAAGGCAGTGACAATAGCGCTCTCGGCCGTGTAGGACAGACTCACAAATAGAAACGTCATGTTGCTGAGGATCCTTATGGCAGCCTTGGGGAGCTCTGTCCAATGCAATAACCAAAAAACAAAAACAGCATCAGCAACTATAAATACACTGGCTCACATACCCTGGCTATAGATGACATTAAAGGATTAGTTCATCCAAAAATGTCAATTACTCACCCCAAACCCTTAAGACAATTGTTCATCTTCGAAACACAAATGAAGATATTTTAATGTAATCGGAGAGATTTCTGTCCATCCATTGACAGTCTATGCAACTGCCACTTTGACGCTTAAAAAATTTCATAAAGAGATCGTAAATCTAATCTATATGAATTTTCTGAATAGACACGATCGCTTTGATAAATGTTTATATGTGAATAAAAGCCTGTTCATCATATAATGGACACACCAGATATGGTAAACGGACGTGCGGGAACCAATGAGGTTCATTCTCAAGTTACGCAGCACGTTTGAGCTTCAGCAAGAACCAATGAGGTTTGTTCTCGCACATCAAGGAAGGATGAGCTTCTGTTTACCCTGCATCGTTATTATAATTCAGGCCAATATCGATAAGATGATCATTATTTTCATGTTATGGTTGATAACCATTAAATGGCCAATATTAATAATAATATATTTAAAATATAATTGTTTTTTATATTTATATTAAAACATTTAAAATAAAACACTAAAGACTAAAAACAGTTAACAAGTGAATTTAGGCATCAAAACATAATTTATCATATATATTCATTTAGAGATTTGCTAAAGATAACATTTTACAGTGTTAGAACATTAAGTTTAACAATTAACATTACATTATCATTACATGACAACAAAGGTAATCTAAATGTAAAAAAACAAGCATGAACAATATATATATATATATATATATATATAGAGAGAGAGAGAGAGAGAGAGAGAGAGAGAGAGAGAGAGAGAGAGAGAGAGAGAACGTTCTCATATAAAAAAAACTAATATAGGCTGATTAACAATATATTGCTTATCTATAAAATTGGTTATCAAAAAAAAAAACATAGCAGAGAGCAAGGTGATACCCTTATATATAAAAAACCCTTAAGCTTATCGGTTGACCACTAGAAATGTGCTAATTTCTATAGTCTTCATGAAATGCTTTTAGTCACAGACGCAACATGCTTTCTTCTACCAGTCAGCTCTTAAAGCAGTCGTAATCCATACTAACAGATGATTACTGTCCTAACAGAGTAAAGCCAGCTAAACCTAAACATGGTGTCTCCACAGCTCTTCTGGATTCAATCCATTTAAATCCCATAGGTTTTAGCTAATGCTTCATCATGTCCAACAAAGCCAATTCTTTTAATTAGCAAGTTATCGCTGTAGCTTTGTTTCCATGGTAACCGACTATAATCAAACTTTAATTTGCTTCCGAATGTTGAACTCTTAACCCCTCAAAGCATCTATGGGACTGACAGGAGAGACACAGGAGTTGGTACAAAGCAACCATATTAAATGCTTAAACCTACTAATGAACAAAACAGCTTGCCTGTCTGTCTCTACCTCAAAGTCCCAGAAACTACTCTACTCTACTGTAAGCATTGCAGTTATGTTGAAAGCCTACTTATGCAAACACATGCAGGCCAGGGGGGAATGGAAGTGGGTTACAGTGGGTTTATAGAACAGGGCTTGTCTTAGTCACTTGTGTGACTTTTTCAAAGCAGGACAAAAGTTGCCATTAATCTGGTTATGAGATTTAGATCACTCAATATACACTACTGTTCAAAAGTGTGGGGTCAGTAAGATTTTTTTTTAATGCTTTTGAAAGAGGTGTCTTATGTTCACCAAGGCTGCATTTACTTGATAAAAAAATAAAAATATTGTGAAATGCTAATACAATTTAAAACATTTTTCTTACAATTAAAATAGTTTTCTATTTGAATTTATTTTAAAATGTAATTTATTTCTGTGATGGCAAAGCTGAATTTTCAGCATCATTACTCCAGTCTTTAGTGTCACATGATTCTTCAGAAATCATTCTAAAGCCCCTTTCACACAGCGCTTTGAACCCGGCAAATTGCCGGCAAATTGCCAGAGTGCCTTCCGTGTGAACGCAAACACGACCCGTGACTGATGCCGGGATCGATGCCGGGTTGGGGACCTAGCAACATTGCCGTGTTCAGACCCGGAACGCGCGCTGTGTGAACAAAAGCCGTAACCAATGCCGTGTCGTAATGATGATGCTGAAGTGAAGTGAAAGCAGGCTAGTGAAACGGTACGTAATGCGCTAGTTTATGATCGAATCAGAGAAAAAAATGCACAAGCGTGGTTTCTCCAGAGAGAAATCGCAGCTCATAAGCAAACTATACACGTTGCTGAGACATTACGTCACATCGATGTCACGTGTCTTCCCGGAACATACACGGGTTGTGTGTGAACGCGCTCTCTGATTCCGGCAAATCACTGGCAGTGTGAATGAAGCAAAATCAAACGAACCCGGGTCAAATCCCGGGTCGCTTTATCCGTGTATTTTCCGGAATCTCTGTGTGAAAGGGGCTTGGGTGCTCAAGAAACATTTCTTAAATGTTAAGAAAGGTCAATATTTTTGTGGAAACTGTGATACCTTTTTTATTAGGATTCTTTGATGAATATACAATAAAAAAATAACAGCATTTTTGAACTATTATAAATGTCTTTACTGTCACTTATGATCAATTGAATAGATCTGTGCGGAATAAAAGTATTAATTAACTTACTGACTTTATTTGCTCTACTTTTCGTAGAGTCAATCTCCTTGTTTCTGAAGCCTTCGGTCATTTGTAATTCTCTATGATGATATTTTGATGTATTGTGCCACTACAATTGCTACTGTACTGTATACATATATGCCAGTGCATAAAAGTAAAAGAAGGCAAAAAAAGCACATTATATTTTACATATGCTGCTTTAAATCTTACAATTCCGACTTTATTTCTTTTAAATGACTTTATATTCCCAACGTGACTTTAATTCTTATTTTATACATTAATCTCAGTTAATTGGCCATTTTATTTCTCATTGTAAGGCAGAAACAGCTTTCTATCATCTCTTAGATAAAGTTTCAGCAATATTTTCTCCTCAGCAGCAGAATAACTGCGGTTTGGTAATGAAAAGGACCATATTAGTGATGAGGATGGCAGAATTGTCATTAATGCTTTTCCCAGATGAATAATGAAAGGCAACTTCTGCAAGCTTGCGCAGTCTTTAGTTATAAAGACTGGTCATTGGTTATTGGTCAGCAGCGCTGTAAAATTAAATGAGAGAGAGGTGGAGCATAATGAATCAAGATCTGGGCTTATAACTGAAAGACTGCAGGTTCAAATCCCGTCTTTATTATAACTGCACTGTAATGCTTTGGACAAAAGCATCAAGTCACTACTTTATATAACACAATTACGCTAAATAAAAGAACTAATCTGCAGAAAAGCAGATTTACATTGGTCAAAGGCTTCTCAATATGATGACTGAAGCGCTAATCTCTGCTAATCTGATGTTTCTTAGAATGTGTTGAGAGCTAGAGGGACAAAAATAGCCACATTTTCAAGGTAACACTTTAATATGAAGATGCATGCTTCCTGTAGTGTGCATCATCACATGACCTTTATCAGACACACACCTTTGATGTCCTTCCCAAAGCCCATGGAGGACGCCACGGTCTGGCCTTTGCTGTTGGATTTCTCTTTCAGGACATCGTCATCATTAGAGGTGCTGTCCGACCCGTGCTTTTTCTTCTTCTTCTTGTGACGAGGGGGCAGTTTTTTGGGGAAAGTGAACATGGGGAAGATGACCAACAGCATGGCGAAAGCACAGAGCAGGAAACCACTCCACCTAAGAACATGGCGATATGCATTAATGATAATTACATTTCATAGTACATAGTAGCTACAGGCGGCTTATATAAAGAGTGACCAAAAACCTAAATAAATGAACTGAAATGGGAAATTCAAGCGTAATTTTGTGCTCAAAAAGTGGTAAAAATGTAATTCATAATTCTTTCATAGGTTGGAATGAAGCTACACACACCTAAATGCAGAACAGATCTTACCAGTTGCCAACAAAGCGTGGATCACTTTGATCAACGTTGGCAATTGTTTTGGGATCCACGTAGAAGCCGATTAGAACGCCTCCCAGGAGGTACCCCGCAGCTGGTCCCAGAGCACCCATCACATACATAATAGCTGAAAGACACAAAAACAACCACGTTACAAAACAACACCCACATAAATCTTTTTTTTTTTTTCATATCACAGCATGTCTGATTAAGGCAGGTAATATTCTCTCCACTTTTAGTCCGACTCTTGACTCATTGGGTCGAATGAGTCAGCCACACTGAGATGACGGGCTGATCATTAATAGTGCATCATGCTTCCACTCAGTTGAGGAACATCATGTATAGTAGCAGTTTTCTAACTGATATAAGCTTTGTTTATACACCAGTATATGGAGAAGCCGGTTATTTTTTGTGAATCAAAAACATACAGTGCGACAGTGTAGTCTGCTTCTAGACAAATGACTCTTCCAAGCGATTATTTTTAGGGAATCAAAAATAAACTGCATGACCTGTGCAGTCTGATTCCAGAACAAATAACTATTATGAGTTCTTATGACTCTTACGAGATATTTTTAGAAATTAAAAGACACATACAGTGCCACCAGTGTAATTAACCAATTCCAGTCAAATCTTTTTTTTGGTGAATTAACAACAAACAGCACAACCAACGTAATATGACTGACTGAATTAAAAAAATAAAGTGTAACGTAACCAATGTAAGACAATTTTATTTGACACTGCAACAAGATAAGCCAACAGTTTTGGAGATTTCAACCATCATCCATTTAAGTAAACTGAAGCTGTACTCGCATGACTGGAGGTAGTCCATGGCTGAGTACATAAATGACTGACGAGAGCACTGACAATCTTTAAAAAGGACTTCGGTGGCATTTCCTAATCCTCGATAGGTGCATATGCAAGGCTCGATTGCTTTGTGTTGTTGCTTTCGAGGCTGAAGGGGTGAGTGTACTGTGGGGAGAGCATTATCTGTTTACGCCTGTTCACAGAAAGCAGCAGTGCACTCCACTTCCACATGGCCAACGCGACTGCCAAGCTGGTTCTGATCCAGCCAGAAGTTCACCCAGAACCGAGACAGGTGCAGCAACACGACTAGGCCTAATCTCTAATCTGACTCAATATGGGAGAAGGTTTGGCCAAAGGCCTGCCAGGTTATATAACACAAGTACAAACATGTTGAGGGAGACAGATAAGTCACGTTCTAGTTGATGTAAACAGGACTACACTGGCTTAGACTCTTGTCTCCTGTCCTTACGTGAGACCTCTAAAGCCAGAGCAGAGAGAATGAGCCAAATCTAATATGCACACACACAGTCACACTGGGCAGAGAGGCATGACATGTGGGCACAGATATTTCACACTCTGAACCATATTTAGCAACGGGTGATGATCACACTGCGATATGAGACAGGTTGACTTTTGTCTGTTTGATCACATATTATGCTGCCTGGTTCCTCCTGGTTCATACACCACCAATACAACTGAGTTTCAAGTGATTCTTGACTAAATAAAATGGGTGTGTTGGGCAATTTACATTTACTCATTTAGCAGACGCTTTTATCCAAAGCGACTTACAAATGAGAACAATTTATTTGTTTCTTTTCTTTTGGATGAGCTTATAATAAAATTCTGACCATTAATGATGTGAATTTTATAGTCGTATCCAATTAACGGTTGATATTCTAAATGCACTGAAAACACCCATAAAACATAAATAGAGGTAAAGTAAATTTCAGGCATAACAACATGACGATACAGCAATTCACTCAAGCATTTACTCTTAATGGGACAGCACTCTTCAAGAGATGTCATGGCCAATATTCGGCATTTTTACATTGTGAAGGGTGCTTCTCAATCAGAAAGCTGCGTCCTGACATGCATATACATCTATCACGAGTAAGAAGAGGGGAGAAGAAAGAAGAAAAAAAAGAAAAAAAAGGGAAGGAAAAAAACACACACACACACACAAAAAAAACAACAACAACAACAACAAACAAATAGGGTAAGCATGGCATGTGTGTGACGGCCGGAGGTGGGGAGTGTTCTTGGTGGTGAGTGATGGGGGGTCCTTGGGCCCCAGGCTCCGGTGCACATCGTCTTATCGCCTATAGCCCATAGTAGTGTGTCTTGGCCAAGGGGAGATCAGAGACATCTTTTTTTTTTTTTTTTATCATATTAGCCTTAATTCTTTTTCATTTATTTATTTATTTATTTTCTTTTTTTTAATTTAATTTTTTTTATTTTATTATTATTATCATTATTATTACTATTTAGTTCATTTTTATCATGTCTGTTGTATCTGTAAGATTTTCTTCTGTTAAGTTATTTCCACTTGCACACTCAGTAATACATGCACACACACACACACACGCTTATGTATGTTATTTTCATGTTTACATGTTATTGTCTATGTATGAGACCTTTATGTTTTTTGTTGTCATAATAAAAAAAAAAAAAAAAAAAGAAAAAAAAGAAAGCTGCGTCCTAGACTAGTAAGGCCGCATATCTCAGCTGCCACACCGTGAAGCTCCGTTAAAGGACGTCTCAGTTTGAAGGCAACCTTCGTTTCGTATACTTCATTCAGCCTATTTTGAAGGATGCATCAAGTGTATCATTCGTGTCCTCCAATCACTGAAAATCACTTGCACAAATTCTAATTCACAAAAAAGAATTATCGGAAACTGAGCTCATTCAGTTTCACTATGTAATGCAAGACAAAAAAAATATTTTGAAGATGAAGGCTGTAACAATGTTAAAGGCTCAGGGAAGGAGGAGGCGGGAACCTTAATCACAGTAAAAGTGAACTTTAATCACAAAATAAACAAACTACATAAGTAAAGCAGAACACAAAGTCTAGGCCCAACCAGTGCAAATGACGTAGCACTGGAGTAATATGGTCCCGTTTTCTAGTACCTGTTAAAAGTCTTGCCGCCGCATTTTGTACTATCTGTAACCGGGATAAAGCTGATTGGCTGATCCCATAATACAATGAGTTACAGTAGTCTAGCCTCGATGTTAAGAATGCATGAATAAGTCTTTCAAAATTATTAAAAGATAAGATTAGCTTTACTCTGGCTAAAAGACGGAGCTGGAAAAAACAGGATTTGACCACTAAGCTTATCTGCTTGTCAAATTTCAGACCATCATCAAAAACAACACCCAAGTTCTTTACCCAAGATTTTGCGGAAAGAGTTAAATTACCTAGGGTTATTTGACTAAGAGAATTTGATGAGCCAAACACTATAATTTCAGTTTTATTTTCATTAAAATTTAAAAGATTTAGAGATAACCAAGCTTTCACATCAGATAGACAGCACCTAATTTTTTTCAGTCCATCACAATTTGGATTTAGGGGTAAGTAAACTTGAGTGTCGTCCGCATAACAGTGGAACGACAACCCATGTTTTCTGAAAATAGAGCCTAATGGAAGCATATATAGTGAAAAAAGAATTGGAGCTAAAATGGATCCCTGCGGGACACCACAAGACAAAAAAGCAGCCTTTGACGAATATTCCCCAATATTAACACTAAACTTCCTATTTGACAAAAACGACCTAAACCCCTCTAGGGCAGGTCCTTTGATTCCCACCCAATGCTCCAAACGAGCAAGAAGAATCGAATGATCTACCATATCAAAGGCCGCACTCAGATCTAGCAATATCAGTACAGTAGAAACCCCAGAGTCGGCAGCTATTAGCACATCGTTTAGAATTTTCAAGAGTGCAGTCTCTGTCGAGTGATATTTTTTAAAACCCGATTGAAAGAGCTCAAATACCTTATTTTCATCCAGGAACCTCTGCAATTGTTTCAACACTATCTTCTCTAAAATCTTAGAAATAAAAGGCAAATTTGAAACAGGTCTAAAATTGGCCATAACATGTAAGTCTAGGTTTGGTTTCTTTAACAGCGGCCGAACTATAGCATGTTTCAAAGCTTCTGGTACCATAGAGGTTTCCAGACATCGATTTATAATGTTTAGAAGGTTACTTAATATTAACCGTCTCATTCTAGCTTTTAATTTTGAGGAGGACTCTAGCCTACAAGCCTCCGAAGGACTGGACTAGGAAGGACACAGCCTCACTAGGACAAAGCCTTCCATTTGAGAAGCACTCATGATTGATCTCAATCACAAACACTTTCATCCTTTAGTGTGCACAGCTGAGAAATAAAATGGCATAGAGTCTGAAACATATCACCATAATTTTCTTGTGGACTTTAAAGTGTGAGCCGAGAAAATAATGCTACAGGCTTTCCCCATAATGCTATTCGTTTATTCACATGGGTGGCTTTCTTTGCAAACTCTGGAACACCAGGGTCTCGTTTAGTTTTGACTTCTTAAACATTCAATCAGCCTTATCTACAGCCTAATTAAATAACAGGTTCCTTTAAAATACCCCTGGAGAATATTGGGAGGGGAGAGAAATTATTCCTAAAAAACACAAAAGCTGCTGATTAAATGTTCTTATCAGCCCAAAGCAGAAATGCCCAGCACACAGAACCAAACAGCCATCCAACATCTTACAAACAGAGAGAGGAAACATGCACAGCCTTTACCAGACAGTCCGATACAAAATAATAAACTGCCTTTGTCTGAAGCATTAAAGTCATCAATTAATTCATAATGAATTCATCAACAGTCCAAGCCATTTTATTAGTGCTTCTGTGGTAGCAGGCCTTACACTGCATAAGCAGATGGAAATGTATTCTAATGACAAAATGTCACATGAAGAGTGAGTACAAGTCTGTGTAAAGCATCTGAAATCAGAATGGCATGTCATTACATTAATGCTTCAATACTAATCCACTTTAACAATAACAAGTGCTCACACTGAGCACATAATGAATATTGGTAAATACTAGTAAGAGTCTCACTTAATAAAGTTAAATCTTGATTCAATGTCAGGTAATTGAGAAACTACAAATGATGTGTAATTTGATCTCCTTACTGAACAGAAGAGACAGGAAACAGATGTAAACTAATGTCCCTGGATAAACACACCGATTAAATCAGTCCAATAATATTCACATTTTTGTGGGGTGAAATGTGGTCATGAAATGCCAGATATAACCTTGATATAGTGACACAAATATGTGGTGCATTTCTATTGC